ACGGAAACACATGAAAATCGCCAGCTGCAAACATCCATCTCAATAGTGCTATGGTGGACCACGGGAAGCAAGAAATTGATAATGAAAAATTGCTAAGCAAGGTATTATTCAAACAGAGGGAGTGATTAAGGCCAATAATGTCAATCCTCCACATACCTGAGTAAGGTCGCTGCTTGAGGGGGGGGGGGGGGCTGCGCTTCTTTCTATCACCGGGAACATCTCTCTTAGGTTGTGTGATGAAAGAGCATCTAGTTTAGAGTAGTGGTTTAAATAGAAGGCCAAGCCTGGAAACCCCTCCGGCAGAATTTGACCCACTTTAGGATAGTGTGTAGGAGTAGGACTCTTAGATTTTCCCCAACGCTTAAGGATAAGGATGGATATGAAATCACCAAAGCCGGACACAGATGCCGGGATTAGGGTATCGTTAGGATCTTTAATATTAATTTTTTAAATTTTTTTTCTCTTTCATGCATCTGTAACAGAAACCCTTCTGATTTCAGAGTCGGTGGGGAGAACATCGTCGGCTGGTGTTGGAAGGGTAAGTCCGGCGAGGTAACCGCCAAAGAAAACCCATTGACATACGCCCTATTAAGGGGGCTGAGATGAGGCCAAGTAGGTAAGTCATGTAAGACATGCATCCATTCGTGGATATCGGCGACTATGGGAGGAAATTGGGATTCTTCCCAATGCACACAATCCAATTCATTCGACGATGACAACTTGAATCTCCAAGCATGCATCTTCAGTGTTCGCACACGCTTAGACTTCCACTACAACAAAACCCATATATAGTGGCTAAGAGATTTTGCCTCTATAACCCATATATATAGAGGCAAATAATACATTTGCCTCAAATACTCTAGTGGCTACCCATATATATAGCTCTATAGAGGCAAATATAGCAGCATATATTATCTGTTGCTAGTTAAGTATTTTGTGACTAATATTTTAGCCGCTAATGTCACTTTTATTATGCCTTCATATCCAATATTATATGCCCCTAAAAGGATCTTTAGCGGCTATTAAACTTGCCTCCAATATTATCTACAGAAGTATATATTTTTGTTTCTAAACTTAGCTAATAATGAGCCTATTAAATTTGCCTCTAATATTATTTGTGGAGGCATATAGTTTTGCTTGTGAAATTACTTTTAAAGGCTAATAGATGTACTTTTGTATTGATTTATTTAATAGATTTATTGTAAAAAAATTGATTCAGAAATATTAATATATTGTACAACATTCCATTGATATGATAATTGAAATATAGAGTAATGAGTGTACAGTGTAAGATTAAAGATTGCAGAGTAGGGAAATAAGAGTGCAAAAGTGGTGAAAGTAGATGCCGCCTAGCATTGGCGCTAATACGCAAAATACATGTGCCTTCAATGATATTGTCCTCTCTCGTATGAGTCTGGCGTTCAGTCAGATTTTCCTTTTCTTGTTCATGCTCCCTTAAATGAAACCACCATAGCAATATAGCCAAGTCTCCGGTTTAGAGCTCGCCCTCACAATCTTAGCGGCTTCTCTCTAGATCTGGGCAGTAGAGGTCTCATGTGTGATAATCTCGTCACCGCCCTTCTTTTTTGCGAATTCGAAGTGAAGGTTATCTGCAGGTAAGAAAAACCATCAAAACAAAGCACACACAGACAGAATACCTGCATAAACAAGAAAAGAAAAGCAACATCGTTCAGGCTACCAGTGAAGAGGGATGTAGACTCTAGTGAATTTGGGGTCTTCGTCGGGTGTGGAGGCGGCAGAGAGGATGGTGGCAATAGAAGATCTGTCGTCACCGCAAGTATCCCTCCCATCACCATAAGCTCCCACCCGGGCGAAGATACTTCCTGGGAATGCGATAACAGAGTTTCAAGTGGTGCGATTAGGGATCTGGAATATGTCGCGTATTTTAAGGGATTTGGGCAGATTAGTTTTGAAATATAGAGATCCAAATGAATCTAGAATCAAGACAGAGCTCATCGTAGATGGTCTCAAGGATCTAAAGATTGGTAGATCTAGCGAGGCTTTAGGGTTAGGTCTACTTACCATTGAGGACGCCAGTGTCGGATTAGAGGAAGACGCCAACGATGGGTTGGAAGGAGGGGGAGAAGGACTCCGACGGTGAGGAAGACTCGGCGGTGGTGACGGAGATGACGCCAGCGCCGGATTAGAGGAAGACAACATCACTGGAGAAGATAATAGAGTCCCTTACAATCTCAACTAGTAGCGGCATCGGAAGTGTAGCGTCGTCGTAATCAAGGAGTGGGAAGCGGGGCGACAACGGCGAGGAGGTGGAAGCGGAGAAACGATGGTAAGAGGAGGATCTGGATAGAGGAGGTGAGGAGGGTCATTTTTGGTTAAGTGAAGAAAGAAAAGATTGAGACTTGGGATTGGGAGGGATCCGACGAACGAAGGTGTTGGACAAAGATAAAGAGTAAAGTAAGAAAGAGAGTTTTTGGGAGGGTGGAGGGATATTTGATATTTCAATTATAATTTGGGGGAGGGATTGAGCGGGCTAGGAGTGATCAGAGGGAAAATTGGTACCTCTCAAAAATGGAAATTTTGAGGTTGGAGCCAAAAACTAACTATCTAAAATAAAATTATCAAATTTCTTATTAATAAAAAGGCTTGGTAAACTATCAATTTGATAGTTAATTGTTTTTTATCAAAGGCTTTTACTTTTTGTTTAATATCGAAAGTGGCTATTGTAAATCTACCTCCTTAAATGATAAGGTGCTAAAATGAAAAATAACAATTTCCAACGTAATATTATTTAGAGGCATATGCTACTAGCTATAGGGGCAAATTTTAATTTGTTGTATATACAATAGTTTTAGTGGCAGCTAGTAATATCTATAGAGGCAATTATACATTTGTTGTCTATGAAGAACTTTTAGAGGCATATAATTGTAGTTACAGAGGCAGATTTTATATATGTTGTATATAATGAATCTTTAGAGGCAGTTATAACATTTGCCTCAATATTTTGCCACTATAGGTAGGTTTTGTTGTAGTGTTCACATGCTCAAGCACGTTATCATCTATCAGGAGGGTCCCCAGCTTACGTTTATTGGGGAAAAGTCCGGTAGGGTTTTGCAGACGAAAAACGTGGCTGACAGGATCTCTATCTCTAACCTTCCGACCTAGGCCGGTAGGGTTTCCGCTAGCTACCGAGGATTTAGACGGCGACTATTCGCGAAGACCATTACTCTTTCTAACCCCCAGCGTTTCCTGGTTTCTCAGGCATATATCGATCATCGCTGTAAGCGTGAAGAGAAGGAGACATCCGGCCGAGCTACATATTACTAAAAGAGAGGAGAGAGTTCTCCTTTTTTTTATGCCAAATACACTTGTATAGCCAAAACTTTGACGGTTTTGCCAAATATAGCCAATTTTGGGGAAATACCAATAATAGCCAGATATTTGAAAGTTCGATGATAATAATAGCCATTTCCGTTACATAGTTTGACGGTGTCAGTGACACCGTTAGTCAAATTAACAGAACGATGATTTGGCTGCCAACTCACCTAACACATCATTGACAACTCACCAACACTTGCCACATATACATGACACGTCAGATTTTATTTAAAAATATTTAATTAATTTATTAAGAAAAAAATCATTTATAAACAAAAAAAAAACCAAAGGATTGCCTCGCTTCCCCTCACCGTCATCCATTCTTTCCCTCACTGTCGACCTCAATTTTCCATCTCCAAGTCTCCACTCCACCCCACCTTTCTTCTTCCTCCTCCTTTCCTTTGCGATTCTGTAGGCGTTGTGAATTTAAGGTCCGAGATTGATCCAACGAAACATCTCTCGGTGGAATTCGTAGCCCTAAACCTCTGATTGCACCACCTCGCAATCTCCAATTGCAGCCCTCGCATCTCATCCAAACACCTCGCAATCAAATCAGAATCCAGACTCCTCCAACGGTACGACTCTCAACTCCTACCAACTCCCTCCTCTTCAACAGTACGACCTCCGCGATGGCGACGAGATCGAGCTCGGAGAGCTCACTTCCATCACTGTCCGGCTCCGAATCGAGAACCAAAATCGATCGTCGCCACTACGACGAGGCGGGAGGAAGCAGATTGCTGCTTCGGTTGAAATAAAGCAACTGGAAACTAGGATTTCGGCAGATGAGAGTCAATTGGAGAAGGCGGAGCAAGTTCTTAAAGCAAGTTCTTGGGCGATAATTTCCAGATCTGGGCGGTTTTCAAAGCTACCGCCAACAATCGACGGTGAGCAGCTGCGCCAGGGGAAGATGGAGGGAAATCGGGAGATAGATTGAGGTTTTACGGATTGAAATGGTTGTGGGGGATCGTGGAGAGGAGAAGGATTGTTGTGGCGCTGAGGATGAGAAATAGAGGGTCGGCGATGGTGGGTGAACGAATTAACACTTCGAGTCGAGTAAAGGAGGGTTCCGGCTTGTCTCAAAACGGAGCCACCTCCTCCTGTTGTTGGCAGGGTCAACCGGAGCAAGAAGAATGGGAACACGAAGGTGTGGTGGCGGGTGGAGGTAGATGAATTTGTGGCGGAGGGAGATAATTTGTCGGTGGGTAGGTAAGGAAAAGGCAAATTGGTGTTTTTCAATTTTCTTTAATTTTTAAATTTTTTAATTAATTCCACGTGGCAAATACGTACAAGACAAAAATTGCCAAATAGGACGATCTATTAGTCCAGTCAGCACGCTAACTCACACCGTCAAAGAATTGGGCGAAAGTGGCTATTATTGGTATTTCCCCAAAATTGGCTATATTTGACAAAACCGTCAAAATTTTGGCTATACAAATATATTTGGCCTTTTTTATAATAAAATGTTTTGTTTATGGTATTAGTAAAAGGTAATAAAATATGATAAAACAAATTGTCAAAATTTGTTTTGAAGTATTGGAGAAAATTTGGGTCCATCATCCATAAGAATTTTTTTTTTGTTTTTGTTTTTTTGAGTCAAGCTGACAAAAGAAAAGAAAAAATTTTGGGTCCATCACGGTCGACAACATGGACTTCTCCGAGGCATTCTCGCGTTACACAACTCTTTCACTCCCTCTTTTCCCCCTTTCTCCTTCCTTTTTCCTCCTCTTCTCTTCTCCGTATTTCTTCGGGCTTCCTTTCCTCCTCTGTTTTTGCTTCTGTTATATTTGTTTTCCCCCAATCAACAGTTCACGTTCCAAAACGTATCCTCTGGACCAGGAACCGGTCTCCGCTAACACGTCCTGGTACGTTTTCTCCCCTTCTCTCTTCCTTTCCTTTCCTTTCCTTTCTTCTCCCTATCTTCGCTCCCACTCTCTTCTTCTTCTTCTTTCCCCCGTCAACGTTCACACCCAACTCCACCACCATCCCTTCACCAAAATTCTTCTGCGCCCTTTGCCACCGCCATCAACTTCGCGCCCTCTGCTTCCCTTTCTCTTCTTTACGCTTTCGATCTTCGTGGGTTCTACTCAATTTCCACCCCCTCACCTGCTTCTGTTTCGGTATTATTTATTTGCTTTCGATTCTTCTTCTGTCATTGCCATTCTTTCCCCTCTTCGGTTTCGTTCTGGTTGTGTTAGTCTGCGTGGCCAGACCCTGTGGTACTCTTTCTTTCCTTTCCTAGTTTGTATCTTTTGCTTCTTTTCGCTTTCCCGATTCGTTGTTAGGTTTATTTTGCTCCTCCTGGAATGTGTGGATCTTCCGGTGAGCTTCTTAAATGGGGTTGAGGGGAAATATTGTTTCCTTTTCATCTACCCTTGTCTTTTTCCCAGTTTTGAGAAGTTTGGTTACGCTCCAATTTTGGTGAGGTGGTCTTGCTCTGGCTGAAAGCCAATTTCATTGCTTTGTCCGCCAGGTGTTTGATTTGGTGCGTCTGAGAGCTGATAGCGATTTGAATTTTTGTTTCAATGCAATTTTAAATTTGTTGGGTTGTTTTTTGGATCTCGCCGAAACTGATCTCTGCCTCTTCCAATCCGTTTCTCTTCCGTCCTACATTCTGTAAGTTTGATCAGCTTCCGTTTGCGTGGGGCATTTCATTTTCCGCAAACTCTATTTCAGGGTATTGATGGTGGGCAAACGGGGAAAGTACGGCTCATCAGAATGTTCTATCGTTTTTTAAGCCTTGGCAGACATGCCCTGCCAATGAGCTGCAATGCCATTGTTTCTCTTTCTTCCTCATTTTGCTTTTCGTTATGTTAGTTTGTGAGTTGAAGCTTGCGCTTGGATTTTTCCAGTTGACCTTTCCTTTCTTTCGCCCCCTTCTCCCTGTTCTGGGTTTGATGACTCTTCTGTGGATCTGGAAGCGGCTCCCTTTTAGTTCCACTAATTTGAGATGTTTCCTGTTTCTCCTTTCATCTTCAGTGGAGTAAATTTCGATGCTTTTTTGGTAGTCAGCTTTTCCGTCTCTATGTTCAATGATTTAGAGGGCCCAACTCTCTCTTTTGAATTTGAATTTGCCCTTCCCCATTTTGAATTATTCCCTCTCTTGTTTTACATAAATTTGTTGTTTATCGTTTGGCTTCCGTTTGCTGCTGCTGCAGATTTGAGGCAAGAGATATTGTCTGGATAGCGTCCGTCAGAGATTGAGTTGTGTCTGATAAATTGGCAGAACAAAGGCGTAATTTGGATTTTGCTGCTGAGAGGTTAGGAGTGTGCGTCTTCTCCAGATGCAAAGTATTGGAAGGACCAGAACTCAGTCTAGGCCCAGTAGATCTGTGAATTTAGGAGGTTGGTTCTCTTTCTCTAACATACATGCATTGGTCGTTTTAATATCAATTACATACTAGTACTGTCGGAATGTTGCGGGGTTGGAAGAAAGTTATGGGCTGTGTGGAAACAGTTGTTCAGTGTTTCTGTTTCTGGTCCCCGTACCTTGAAATTGTTTTGCAGGCATGGACTACCCAGATCCCAAAAGGAAGGGAAACTTCGTTGGAAAGGTTGCTTTGGCTGCTATCATGACGACCGTATGCATTCTTGTGCTCAAGAAATCCTCATTCAATTACGCAACCCCGGTAATGTCTGATTATATAAATGCATTTTGTTCTGCTGATATTGCTGTTTGCGATGGCAGTCGTAAGTAGTAAATTACTTATTTGAAATCTTAAGTGAGGCTTTTTCTAAATCCTGTGTTGTTTATGATCCAGTTCTCCATGCGTGAAGAAGGAGTTACTCATGTTCTTGTGACCGGTGGAGCTGGCTATATCGGTTCACATGCTACATTACGTCTTCTGAAAGATGGTTACAGGGTGACCATAGTTGTAAGTTCATGTCTTTAGCGTATTGATCTCCTTTTTTATCGTACATTTATCATAATCTGTTATCTTAGTTTCTGTCAATCTTCTCTGGCAGGACAATCTTTCTCGAGGGAACATTGGTGCTGTTAAAATCCTACAAGAACTGTTTCCAGAGCCTGGGAGGCTTCAATTTATATATGCTGACTTGGGAGATGCCAAAGCGGTATCCTTTCTGGCTTTCCTTCTGCAGTTTTCTGACTTGGGTTTTGCTCACTGGAAATGTGATGTGTTTACTTGTTTCCTTCACCGAAATTTACAGGTAAACAAAATATTTGCAGAGAATGCTTTTGATGCAGTGATGCATTTTGCAGCTGTTGCATACGTTGGAGAAAGTACCATGTATCCTCTAAAGTAAGTATCCTTTGCCTTCTGGAGTTGGCCTGTCAAGTTTGATTTTTCTTTCAGCTAGTTGCTTTTTTACATGGATATGGAACTTCTGGTATTTCTTTCGCTGATAAGAATTACCGGCAGCTGCGCATTAGATTGAGGTTTGCTTACCCTTTACTGCACTTAAATTAACTTATTAAATAAGAGAAGCTAGATTTGCTGACTGACCAATGTTTTTGTTCAAATATTAGATCAGACTTTCATCATTGTATACTACTGAATCTGTCTAATCATTAAACAGTAGGAACCTAGCTATGGTTGAACGACTGGTTGTTGGTATACATCATTTCCACCCTACTTGCACAATCTGCATGGACAGACACTAGTGAGCAAGATAAAATTTCATTTTTCTGGTTCAACCCGTTTAACTTACTTAAGTCATCCTCAAAGCTTGAAACTTAATGTGGATGATGGGTGCCAAACAATGATACCGAACAGAAAACCTTATTAACATTTTCGCTGCAGGTATTACCATAATATTACATCAAATACCTTGGTGGTGTTGGAGTCGATGGCCAGGCATGACGTGAGGACTCTGATATACTCTAGCACATGCGCAACCTATGGGGAACCTGAAAAGATGCCTATAACTGAAGAAACAACACAGGTACACTCAAAGTCTTGATTTATCAACTAGGCAGTGTAATATATGCAGAGCTATATACTAGACGGGAGTTCCAGTGACATGGGAAAATGACTAGTATACCACATTAACCTTTATTTGTTCTGATTTATGATTTATCAACTTAGGTCCCCATCAATCCATATGGAAAGGCCAAAAAGATGGCAGAAGACATGATCCTTGATTTTTCCAAGACATCAGACATGGCAGTTATGATTTTGAGGTTTGTGTTTTCCCTTTCAGTATATACTACCGCTCATCGAAATCTCTTCTCTTAGATGTAACCGCAGTAGTGGTCGTCTGGTCGACCTTATTTCTATTCCCTTCACTCATCCCTGTCCAGCACATTTGATTAATATCATAATCCAGATGTTTAATGGGTTAAATGGTGCTAAGTGCTTAGATGATTAGGTTTTAGAGTCGGTAACTTCGTAGTTCGATACTCTTTGATAATGTTGCCACTTTCCCTTGTAAGACAATACTGTTCAAATCTTCTATTTGATTGTCGATCGAATAATTCTTGTTCGAATGTGAATAATAATCTCGCAAAGTAGACTGATGAATATAATGTTACTCCTTGCATAGTCTGGTCGATTTTAAGTGATGAACACGATGTTGCTTCCTTCATTGTTCTTGTTTGGCTTTTGTGTTTCATTCTGAATAAGATGGCCAGCTGATGTTGCATTTCAGATACTTCAATGTGATTGGGTCGGACCCAGAAGGCAGATTAGGGGAGTCTCCACCGCCTGAGCTGCGGGAGCATGGACGGATTTCTGGTGCATGTTTCGATGCAGCTCGTGGAATCATGCCAGGGTTGAAGGTAAGTTAATGAACTAATTTCTGATGTAACTAAATCCCTAGGCCTACTAGTCTCGTTGGGCTGGTTTTTTTATGTCTCATTTTCCCCTATATTTCTTCCATTCACAGGTTAAAGGAACAGACTACAAGACACATGATGGCACATGTATACGGGATTACATTGATGTAACTGACCTTGTGGATGCTCATGTGAAGGCTCTGGAAAAGGCCGTACCTGGTAAAGTTGGAATCTACAATGTTGGCACAGGGAAAGGTAGGGCTTTTGTTGTACTATTGTGCCGAAAAAGGAACAAAAACATTCAATAAAAAAAAGGAACAAAAACTTCTCTTTTCAGCATATCTCAAAACTAGATCTTTTCTGTCTATTCCAGGTAGATCAGTGAAAGAGTTTGTGGAAGCATGTAAGAAAGCAACTGGAGTGGACATCAAGGTTGATTATTTGCCTCGCAGGCCTGGTGACTACGCCGAGGTGTTCAGTGACCCGAGTAAGATAAGGAATGAACTCAACTGGACAGCGCGTTACACTGACCTGCAACAGAGTTTGAAGGTTGCCTGGAGATGGCAGAAGGCTCACCGTGACGGGTATGGGACCCCTTCAGTGATGGCTTCTTGAAACCCTTCCCACTTGGTAGAGCAGCACTGGCACAGCAACGGATAGCAACATTTGACCCCAGAGAGATAACCCCTCCAACATACCACAGCACCAACCTGGGTTGCAATGCTGTTTTATTCTTCTGCTTTCTTTAGAGAAGAGGAGAGGGAAGGAGAAGCTTTTCTATTACTATTATTATTTTTTCCTAAATAATTTTTTGATACTTGTTGTCATGCCATATATATAGAGAGTGAGGGAGATGTAGGAGTTGCCGATTCATTACTTGTATGTGAACAGGTAATAGTCGAATAATGTAATGATGATGATGAATTGATGATGATGCCTCAGGCTCATCCAATATAATAGGCTTCTACAGTTCATTCCGCCTCCAGATTTCACTCAGATTCATAAGTTCCTTACAGAAGAAACACCAGTGGATTGGAACATGTTTCTGACTGTGTTCAGATAAAAATTTCATGAAGAGTAGTTTTCTCGTGGTTCAGTTCTTGATGGGTTCATTACAGGCTTTCCAAATGATGACATGCAACTCGTCGTATCTATAGGTTGTTACGAGTTCCGGCATCATGTTTCTTTTGCAGTACTCACTCACCATTTGTACATAGAAAAGATGCATCAGAATTTTTTACTGGTGTTTCTGCAGCTGAAGCACATCAGTTCTCTCACCTTCTAAGAGGCAGAAACTTGACTGCCAGTACTGCTCCAAAATTCCACCGCCATTGTCTAAGGAGGAACACCGAACACATTTCAATCGCTGCGTAGTACATATTGGACATTAATAAACTCTAAAAGCATCGTGACCACAAGAACAGAGTTGGCTATTGAGCCAAGCACTGAAAGACTCGTGCAGAAATGTGAACTGATCCTTAAAATGTTAAAAACACATAATCGAGACTACGAGCATTCGGTATATGACAAAAATATAAGTTGATTGAAAAAGCACATTCCAAACTGTGTTTTGTTAGAACCCCATCCCCAACAATCCAAAATGCAGAAGACTGGCTCTTGGGACACTTCTTCAACTAAAAAATCATGCAACTGATTGAACTGCTCTTTCGAAGCTATCTTCTGCAGTCGATACACGCTTAATGAGCATATGCTCCGGATGTGCGATCTTCAACTGGCTGCAACACAAACATTGCATTTGAAGTCATTGACTTGTATTTAGCTCTAAACACAGGTGAAAAAACAGCTACAAATTTGACACTCCAACTTGCCTCATCAGGCGGAGATTAGTTAGGCATCCAAAATATGGATTTCCAAACAGGTTATATTGCATGATAGAATGATTGATTGATTGTCAATCAACCATTTCCTTATTATTAGGTTAAAATCCTAATCCTGTAAAGTGATCAAAGAGCTGCTTACTTGAGATAACGTGAAGATGGTTTGCCAAGATGGAGACTGCATACAACCAAGTTTGCTAAGGTTTCGGGGTCCTTAGCATCCTGTGCCATTCACCAAAATGCACAAAATTCTAAATGAAGGTAGAATAGCATAATCATTTTGGCATAAGAGACATAAAATGAACTTGCCTTGTTTAGTGCTTCAAGAAGCAACGTCTCTGCTTCTTCAAAGTTGCCCATGTGCATGCAACAAACAGCCTTCCCATTCAATATCAGACCCGTCATGGGATATTTCTCAGAGAAGTCTTGAAATATGAGTAGTGCTTCTTGTATCTTCGAACCACCCTGGTGGAATGTAGAGATAGTATCATACATACTATCCCTCCAATAATAAAACGTGATGATTTTACTGAAACCCGAGTGATTAGCCAACAAACAATACAAAACAGAACTCACAACTGCCAGATTCAGCCATGCATTTGCAAGCTGAGTAAGGGAATGGTCTTCATCAATCTGTTGCATGACTCTTAGCTGCCTCTCAGCAAAATCTGTCCTGTGCATCTTAATGAATATTTGAACATTCAATGCATGCCTGAAAAGTTAGCACGCCATGCGTCAGGAATTAAAGCCTAAGGTATGATGTCTTATCTCCCTCTAATAGATGCATGCACATAACGATTCATATTACTTCTCCAACTGGAATACTGGATGCAGTCTAAATCAACCACAATTCAAATCTGCCTAATCTACCGTCAAGTCAGATAACCATGCTGGATCAAAACCATCTAGATATTCTACAGATAGGTATAAAACCATAAAATAAGAGATTGAATTGGATAAATTATGCAGCTCCAGTATGACTCACAGTTCCATGGTCCCTCCAGCATGGGTGTGCTTCAAAGCCTCATTATAGTCCTCTTCATTCATGAATACGATTCCAGCAATCAGCCTTAGAATGACATTGTTTCCAATAGCCGAATCAGCCAACCACTCTTTCAAGCTTGAAATTACAGATTGCTGTGCAATAAACCAGTTAGGGAGGGGCATTAGCTAACTACATCCATCCGAGATCTAAAACTGATAACCCAAAACTCATGATTCCACCAACAATAAAACAAGCTACCATACAAATCACATTATGATTCCTTTCTACTACTCTACATATGCAACTTGTGTACTGATTGACTGACATGGACAGAAGGTGTTGCAATATCTATCCCATCATCACCTCAATATAACTCTTCTAGTGTAATCACAGGAAAAAATCCCAAGTTACACATGTTTTTAAAAAAAATTCTCAAAATATACACGTTATGAAAATAATTCCCAATCTACGCATGTTTGGGCCATCACCGCTGTCGACGAAGACAGTGATTACATCACCGCTGTCGACGAAGACAGTGATTGCATCACCGCTGTTGACGAAGACAGTGATTGCATCACCGCTGTCGACGAAGACAGTGATTGCATCACCGCTGTCGACGAAGACAGTGATTGCATCACTGCAGTCGACGAAGACAGTGATTGCATCACTGCAGTACACGGCCGCGGTGAAGGCCTGACCTGCGTCGAAACTTTAAACAAACGTAACTTTGTGCTCGGTTATCCGATCATAGCGAAATTTTTTCTGATTCCGCATAATTTTTTGAGATCTTGCAAGCCGCAAATTGCCGTAGGAGGTTTGATCCCGCCTTCGTCTCGAAAATATGTCGTTTGCTACCCCGAACGAGCCTTTTTTCGATTTCGTCAAACTTTGAACGACCATAACTTGTGCTCCACAATCCGAAAATCATGAAATTTTTTTTTTTGATTTCGCATAACTTTTTAAGGACTACAATTTTTAGTAGGAGAGAATTTTCAAAAAATGAATTATTTATGGATATAAGGGGTTTTGGGAATAACTTTACCTTCCTTTTTAGGAATCCAAGTACATTCCGAAAATATGTCTATGATAAAAATTGTAGTCCTTAAAAAGTTATGTGATATAAAAAAAAATTCATGATTTTCGGATTGTAGAGCACAAAGTTATGGTCGTTCAAAGTTTGACGAAATCGAAAAAAGGCTCGTTCGGGGTAGCAAACGACATATTTTCGAGACGAAGGCGGGACCAAACCTCCTACGGCAATTTGCGGCTTGCAAGATCTCGAAAAATTATGCGGAATCAAAAAAAATTTCGCTATGATCGGATAACCGAGCACAAAGTTACGTTTGTTTAAAGTTTCGACGCAGGTCAGGCCTTCACCGCGGCCGTGTACTGCAGTGATGCAATCACTGTCTTCGTCGACAACAGTGATGCAATCACTGTCTTCGTCGACAGCGGTGATGCAATCACTGTCTTCGTCGACAGCAGTGATGCAATCACTGTCTTCGTCGACAGCGGTGATGGCCCAAACATGCGTAGATTGGGAATTATTTTCATAACGTGTGTATTTTGAGAATTTTTTTTAAAAACATGTGTAACTTGGGATTTTTTCCGTAATCACAGCTACAGGTTTCACAATGATTTGAAGTTAGATGAATATCTAACCAACACCCAGATAGACAAATTATACCAGAGTACACATAAGAAACTCAGATCACCAGCATCGCATGACAAATTCAGAGAACTCCTATTTGATCAAAGTCCGAATCAAAATTCAAGACAACTATCAATCAGAGCATAAGCAGCTTCCAGTAGTTCGTTCAATGCAGGAAAGGGAAGAAGAACAGATCAAACATCGATCTCGGGCCAAAAGCCACCAAACAGGCAATGATCTTGTATACAAGGGAAGAATCGTTATACAGCAAAGTGGCCAACCTTGTTTTCAGGGCTGGAAAGATACAAGGCAAGCAATTTGACGGCCTGGAGAGGAGTGGCTGCGTTCTCGTCGATCTCACTGATCACAAGCTGCAATTTTCCACACCAAACATTATGAATCGATTGGAGGAAAATCTCTCCGGAAGAGACGAACAGAGAATCCAGCATAAGAAAACGAACCTGATAGCTTCCAAGAGCGATGTAAGATCGGTGGACAAGGCAGTCCCTCTCGACGGCATCTTCTGGGGAGAGATTCGGGAGGTCGCTGCTGTTGATGGCAGACTGGAAGGCTCCCAAGTAGAAATTGTTGCGTAGAGTGAAGAGGTGATCGGGTGCCGTCGCCATTGCTTTCCTTTCTCCTTAGATCTGAACCTTTTTCTTAAGCAAACAAATGTGGTGAACTCTTTACCAGTTTGCGGGTGGTTTCTGTCACACCCGGCACCTAGTTTTTTTTAAATGTCTAAATTACCCTTAATTAATGGAATTTTTCCCATAATAGTACCTTATATAAAAAAATTACAAAATAGCACACATCCGAAAAAATTTACACTAATAGCACCCTTTTTTATGGACCGTACCTCTAAGATGCGGTTTGCGCCATGTCAGAATGGGAACCACACCTCCAAGGTGCGTTCTGTGTTTGGTGGGCAGCGGCCTTGCAGACCGCAGGATTGTGTGGCGATCTAGCGGGCAGGAGCAACGCCACGTCAGCGATCCGCACCGTGGATCGCAGAACGCAGCGCGGAGGAGCGGTTTGGCGCCTTGAATCACGGAACGCATCGTTCCAGAATGGTCAGCGCCTCGGGACGCGGAGGCCGCATCGGAAGGGTGCGTTTTCTCCTCTGGCAAAATTACCAGACCGCCCCTGGAGGGTGCTGTCTGTTGGGTATAAATACTCCCCCTTCCCCTCTCATTTCTTCACACCACAACTCATTCTTCCTTCTCTCTCTAGAATTTATCTCTCTAAATCCTCCCTTCCCAAAAGTCTAGGAAATAGTGGTCTGTTGGTTGCGGCTAAGTCCGATCTGCCATCAGAAAACATTTTTTAGGTTTTTTCCTCAAAATCCGCCGAGCAGAATCTCTGTCCGAATTTTAGTTTTTTCCTCAAAACCCGCCCAGCCGAACCTCTGTCCGAATTTCCCGAAAAAATGGCCGATTGGTGGCAAGGAGAGGGGGTTTATGTCGATGAATTTCAAGCGGTACGTACTCATTATTCTGGTTTAATTTTTGTTGTTGTTATAAGCTTTTTAATTAATCTATGTACTAACCTCGTTGTTATTTTCTCGTAGGTTGGGGAGGACGTGGATATATACAACCAACGGTATTATCTCGAGCAAGGACCGTTGGATCCAAC